GAAAGGGTAGTTTATGCTCATGAAGCACTTCCAGCTATCATAAAATGTCACCCCCCCCCCCCCCGTCACATGACTTGCATTTTGGGTATATTTGACAGCTGGCTTGTATTTATGATCAGTTGCAGCATCCTACGGTAACAGGACTTTTTGTGACTTTGTGACAGCAAAAAACAATGTTTTGGGACAACGGATTCACTTAGCAACTGCCATAAAAACAGTTGAAAAATCAGGTCTGGTCACTTGGCCTTCTTGACTTATGACCACACGAAATTTCAGATCCAAATTGTGGTTCTGAGTTGAGGACTATCTACTGATTTTTTTTTGTCCTCCATCTGAATTATTGCAGTGCAGTCTATGGCTGTCCTTGAAGCTACAGCTGATCCACAATTTCAGTACTTATTGGTATGCCTTGATAGGTCTTAATATCTCTATTTTGCAAGATACAGTGTTTCTTGGACTTCTGGGTGCAATTCAAAATGCTGGTTGTCATAGACCAGTGCCAAGTTATTTTCAGGATAATCTGTCTCCAGTTATTTCTGCCTGTCTTATGAGATTTGACAGGGTGGGTAGTCTATGTATCCCTTATATTAAATAACACTATCTGATGAAGCCCAGGAAGCTTTCTGGGTTTCATCAGATATCTCTGTCACTACATCTACTCTATGCACTAGGACTAGAGATGACATAGCAGTGTTCCAGTATCTAAGGGACTGCTACAAAAAAGAGGGGGTGGGGTAGCCTATTATCCAAAGCACCTGAAGGCAGAACAAAAAAGCAATAGATGGAAACTAATCAAGGAGCAATCCAGCCTAGAAATAAAGAGAAATTTCCTGATGGTGAGAACAATTAATCAGTAGAACGGCTTGCATTCAGAAGTAGTGGATGGTCCATAATTGGAGGTTTTTAAGAAGAGATTGGACAACCACTGAAATGTAACAGGGTCACCTGTTTGAGCTAGGGTTTGGATTACAAGACCTCCAAGGTCCTGTCTGTTATTCTCTTACTCTGTACCAGGCTGCAGCCCATTTAGAAGTGGGTCTCAGAAGTGGTGGGCGAGTGTATGAGAAGCTGCATTTGTGAAAGCGGTGCATGCACAAGCAAAACCATTCCCTTCCCCCCCTTGCTGTCTCCGTTGGTCCGCTGAACTGGAAAGGTTGGGGAACACTGTTCCCCAACTGATGGAAGAGCATCTCTTCTGAGATTCAGATTACAGGAACGTTGCTAGTCTTTTGTAAGGTGCTAAGACTTAGTTCAATGGGACGTGAGATGCTTGTCGACCAGAAAGGTTGGCAGTTCAGCGGTTCGAATCCCTAGCACCGCATAACGAAGTGAGCTCTCGTTACTTGTCCCAGCTTCTGCCAACCTAGCACTTCGAAAGCATGTAAAAATGAAAGTAGGAAAATAGGAACCATCTTTGGTGGGAAGGTAACAGCATTCTGTGTGCCTTCGGCATCTAGTCATGCCAGCCACATGACCATGGAGACATCTTCGGACAACGCTGGCTCTTCGGCTTTGAGACAGAGATGAGCACCGCCCCCCTAGATCTGGAAATGGGTAGCATGTATGTGGAAGGGGAACTTTTACCTTTAAGACTTAGTTCTTCCCCTGGCCAATGCACTAGGATGCTGGGTAAGGCATCCAAGCATGATATATGTTGCTTTAATTGTTTTTGATTATGATTGTTTGACATTCATTGTTAGCTCTACAGGGTCACAGGGCAAGTAACAGTCATATAAGTAGCATAAATAGTAAATAACTCCACTATAAATGTAGTTAAATTCCAATATCTTGTAACTTTATTTTTTTCCTCCGTTGAAATTGATTAGATTGATTCAGAAGTCATAAAAATGTGTAAGCTTTTAAGAACTCAAATGTTCTTTATTCAAGTCAGATGATATAAAAGTAAATGAAAAGGGAGGTGGGGAGAAAATGGTTTGTGTTGCAAATTCTACATAGTAAACCTTAGGATAGAAAGTTAGGGAAAACAAAAAATAACTTAGATCTGTGGTTTTTTAAAAAAAGGCTTTTTGGAAGGAAGAGATAAACTGGAATTGAAAATATCAAATCCAGTTCTTTAGAGAAGACACAGGCGCTTTATTAGATGGAAAACAGAAATCCTCAGCTAGCATACATAGTACTAAATTTTCTCATCCTAAGGGAGTCCCCTTTGATAGCACCTCTGCTGCTTCGGGGTATCAGATCTTGTAGCCTGGGGAGCAGGATGTTGACATCTTTGGGCAGTGATGTTCAACAACCTGGTCCTGCAGAGACAGCTAGAAGCTGATCTTAGCTTTAGCAGCCTCTCTCACAGTGGGTGCTTCAATAGAACATTCTCACAAAATGTATTTATTTAATTCTGAGTACATTTGCTCTAACATTCGTATTTTTAATTTCGATTCTTTACTCCATTTTCTTTTAAAAACTATGGATGTTTATATAGGCAGCTCTCAGTTTATGACATCAATCACAGGTCTGCGACTAAAAAGCTGTTTGATTATTTTCATCTAATTTCCATGTATTTTGGTGTGCTGAAAGCAAATAAAATATTGAAAAACTCCTGGACGTCATGATTTGCCACAACATGCGAAATTGTCTTCAAATTTATCATTTTTTTAAAAAA